GAAAAACAGACAAATACTATAACAACTGATAAAATTTTAATGTATTTATGACTAAAGTTTGTGCTGAAATGGCCCTGATTCAGCATAAATACAGTAGACCGAGAGAAGTCAAACAGTGCTGATTTTCTGCCAGTACCATATGGTGAGCGATCGCAGCCCAGTAAGCCATGCCACCAAAGTGCATCACACGCAAATATATATACCTAACTCTAAATACTATACATATATATATCAATATATTTGTTAGTGTGTCATGACTATGACACTCATAGGACAATGCTATTAAAATTTTGTTGTGACTTTTACAAAAAGACTTATGAGTCATGGCGATTTATAAGTGATTTTCATATTAACATCTTTAGAAAGCTATACTTTTATATGCCATTATCATAATGTATTTTCACAATTTTTTTTTTCCGATTATTATGCTATTAAAAAATAGTATTTAATCATTACTTGTGACCAGGTTATTTATCTATTTCGTTAAAGTTGCATACTTAATTGAATCAAATAATCAGTCTTGATCAAAAACTGTAACATCGAATTATAATTGTAATGGCAAATAAAATAATTTTAAACATTATTCAATAGGAAATGAAACTATTTTTCCAGATATTTATCTATCGTATATTTGTTTTTTCAAACAAACCGACATTTCGGGCCCTTTACAGGTCCCATGGTCACGGTTGACTGTATTATTGAATACTTTTTGTTTTAACTGTGTTTTACCAATCTCAATGTAAAGGATATAAGCAGCATAAACATCATGTTTATCTGATAATATTCTTCAAAAACTTAACATAAGGGAATCAGTTTGAAAGTTCAGTGACAAATTAAATCCTATTTCAATTTCTCAGATTCAGCAATAGATTCATACTGAATGTCAGACAGACTTTCAAGTTATTCACCCCTGAACTAGGTAAAAAGGTAAAGGTATAAATGATGATGAATATGTCACATATATTCAATGATTACAAATGATAATGAAAAGAGATTTCATTATCATTATTGACTCTAAAAAGAGAGTATTAACACTGGCCTAGTGTGATCAGGAATTCAGATGTTTTCCAAGGGTTGTGAGCCTTTTCAACATGCTAGTTTCACCAGCATTTTGATGTTGACTGGTTACCATGCTGGTCTGTCACACAGACCCGGTTTAGATTTCCGGGCCTGGACAGATCGACGCCTCCTACGTAAAGTATCATATATCGAAATTGCCAAGTTTACAGGGGAGCATTTTAAAGTTCTAAATTCACGGAAATGAGCATAACACGTGAATTTAAAATTTCTCAGTTTTATTCGAGAATGAGTTTTAAAGTAATGAGCTTTGCCGAATAAAACTGAGAAATGCCAAAGTCATATGCTCATTTTAGTAAATTCAAAACTTTAAAACACTCCCCTGTAAACTTGGCAATTTCGACATACAGTACTTCACGTAGAAGGGGTTGATATATCTATATAGCCTACATTTATGTATCTCGTGAGTTTGGATCTAATTTGTGGTTGTCTTTAAAGAACCAAGCCAGCCGCGATACAGGGTTTCCCTAGTGACAGGCCATGACTGTGTACATTATTATTATTACCACAAAAGTTGTCCTTCACCGAAAGATGTTGCTACTAAACATTCAGAACATGACCCTCTCAATTGAGAAGCCACCTTTCCCCCCTGGGCTACCATCACCGGTAAGTAAACCTTAATATTAACCTCATATCATCAGGGATAGTGCAATTACGCATAACTAGCATTGCATTATGAATCTCCATTTCGGTAATTTAGTCGCCTAATCAAACCCGCGTAATGTCGTGGCAACCAAATTAGTGCGATTTACGAGAATCTATAGTTATCAGTCCGTAGACAACATAAATTATAATGTTTACTGTGCAAAACTGAAAATCGTAACCATTGAAATACCAAAGTAATAACATCAAATCTCTTTCCTGTAGTAAGTTGGTTTAGCGCAGATATGCACTATTCCCGACAATATGACTGTTTACTAATTATAGAATGCTAGAATAAACAGTATATACATACTTGTCTTGAGTAGGGTAGAAGGACCTCCTACTGCGCAATAGAACAGTGCGGGTACCTCCATTCTTCTCTCCTCCAATCTGCTTAACCACCACCGTGGGCTTCTTAGGCTTCTCTGCCTTTGGGTTCTTTTTGCCAACAAACTTGTACTTCGCCTAAATATAAGAAAATAACATCAGCTTTGCAACTTGAACAATGTAACATTACAATATAAATGAACTATTAGCAGTGTAATTAAGAGGGAGCAGATGAAAAATTCCTAATCTTCGATTTGATTTTAGAGTAGTATGTCCACTTTAAAGTTAAAAATAAAATATTGCATGAGTAACTACACGATATATTCAAGCATAGACATTAACCAGAAACATAAAACAATAAAAGTTTCCTCAATAGATAAAAATCATGAAATGACGTCTAATTTTCACATTTTTTCGATTTATCCTAGAAATGCTACAGGTTATTAGGACAACATTTAGATAATTAATTATATTTATGCATGATCGACAACTGTTACCACGGATTTTTTTGTAATCCCTTTAGTTTTAGAGTTATTCCGCTAAAACGAATTTAGTACTTTTAATGCGCAAAATTCAACATCTGTGGCATGTCACGCGAACTTCAGGCATATATTTGTTTCAAAAATTTAAGGGGACGCCAACATCACAACTTTTTTGGTATGCTCCTCTAAACAAACAAAAGTTAATTTATACAATCTGTCTTATGTAGTGGAACTGTGCATGTTGCACCAATAATAAAATTAATTCTAGTTATACAAAATCTCAAGTAAGTTCAACAAACACTGTTTATTTCCCAGTACAAGCAGTGTATGAAATATTTGTATTCACACCATTTTCCCATCAGATTAAGCTAAGAACTCAGTCTTTCACGTGATATACATAAGTTTTGTTTATTTAAAGTATAAAATAGTTAAACTGCTAACAAATACAACTCAACATTGTTTTAAGGAGCTTTAGTGTTATAATTTTACGAAAACGATGTGTTGGTAGTCTACTTACCTTCTTGTGGAACATCTTAGACTTGGAGAAACGGACTACACCATTACCCAGGTCATAATTCCTTGGTTTGCCAACTTTGGCCTTCTTCACTCCGCCCGCGGGGGCTGCGGCGGGCTTAGCCACCGCCTTGGGCTTTGGTGGAGCCATTTATGATCTGAAACAGAATGTACAACCTTAAAAACAAACCTACCACCTGACGTGTGCGAGTTAGGTTAGAATTGTTTTGAACAGCTCCCCCACAAACAAATGACTTCGAAACCACACTTTGAACACAGTATAGTGGTTGCGTTGCCTCTGAATCACTTGTGAACATTTGAAAAGCTATATTCACACTTCAATATCATCATCAATCCTCGAAACGTCAAATTTTCAAATCTTCAAAAATATGTTTTGAGACCGGGTTTTCGGGAAATATAACACAAAATCACTTGTCTGTAGGACGAAAATTTACAATTACACGAAAAACACTCCAAATCTCGTTATTTCACAGCTATTATGATGGATTTATGACGTACAATAACAATATCAACTCACATTCCAACCGGGATCAAGAAAAAGAAATTGTCATAGACAAAAATTGACAGTTCATTTCTAAATAGTGATGTGTATCTTTACCGGTTTCTCAAACGAATAATCTTAGGCCGGCCTCGTACAATCAGAATCCCGTTTCGAAATTCCTACTATAACTATGCAAATCATGGACTTTTTCTAAAATTGTTCTGATTCGAAATTCCGTATGGTCGTTAGTCCATTTTGAATTCAGTACGAAAAAGCCGTTCCTAATGCAAGTCTTCCATACGTACATATTTTCGCTGTGAGAACATCTGGACTCAATACCTCGCGTCGCTCAACTGAGTCTTGTTATTCCGAATGCAAATAAACGTATATGTGTGATCTACGGAATCTCTAATCCAAGTTCCGAAACGGAATTCCAACAGTATGTGGCCGGCCGTTACAATTTTACAATTATGTCTATGATTATAATTGAGAACGCAGCCATATTTTGACATTCTCTCAAGCAATGTTGCTATAAATAAAAAATATTTGATTCCGGCAGATTTATTAATGATATTTTGCATTGAGTAATGGCTATTATGCAATTAAATACAAATAATAAGTATTTGTAAGTAGATGCTGCAATAGAAAAATATTTTAGCTAAGAAAATAAAACTCAAAAGTGTTTAATAGAATGTTAAAAATATCAATATTTTTTATTTTGCAATATTTCGCCCAAAACTGTGCCACCCCAGCATTTTGTCAAATTTAATGTCATAGATCGAAAATAAAATTAGTGTCGAAAAATGGCTTCGTTGCGGAGCCCGTCTTCGCCATCCGACGGGTACACAAGGTTCAGTGACGAATTCGCAAACAGCAGCGTCAACAATTACGGCTCAAATGTTACAAGTAAACGAGAAGCTATGATTTTTATATGCACTGTAATTGCAAGAGTTAATGTACGCTTTCCATTTAACAATACATTTAAGATGCATTTTAAAAAGATTTGTTTTAATTATAACACCTTGTTCGAACTATCAATTATGTATATCATCAGCTCTAATTAATATAGTTATTGGCTAACAGTTTCAGTAACGCCTAAAGTTAAAGTAAAATGACGCAGAGATGAGTCATGTCTAAGGTCTGGCTTAGCCACTAACATATGTATAGTAAACATTTTAGACGCCTGACCTGAATACTTTCTCGTAATACGAATAGCGGCGCTTCCGTAGAGTAGCACAACTTTATGCATGCCCTTAGTTGCTTGCTTTGTTGCATGGCAATAATGTAAGCCCACGCAATTTAGTAACTCTTATTTTTATAAAACATGTATAATTCAATACTGGACTGAAGCTAGCTTCAGGAAAAAAGTGTTTTGTTTATGTAAGTTCTTTAGTCAAATTATTGCATAAAAGTTTGAATATTAAATAAAAATTTAACATTGACTTATAAAAACAAAACCATTTTTTCCCAGATCTAAAATCGCATAGAAATATATTTTGTTTTAAAAAATTTGTGCAATTTTAGTTTTCATTGCATACATAATTTTATGTAATATATTATCTTAATTAATTGCTAAACAAAACACAAGTGTCTCCTCTAGAAATTTTTCATATGTAAGTTAACAATGTAAGTTAACATTCACAAAGGAAAAACATCTAAATTGCTCCAGTGGGGTGTGACAGTAAATTAATCTGGTTCAATCTGTTTGGTGCCACAGCAAACTGGTCAGCATTAATTTGCACCACTACAGTAAGATGATTTCGTCTAGGTATACCTACCTAGTTATAAAAAAAAGTTGAAAACTTGTTGCAAAACATTTAATTGTACATTTACGTTAAATGTAAAGAATAATATTGAATTTTTTTATGATAATAAGTAATGGGACGAACAAGATGTGCCTGTCCATAACAGTTGCAGTGCCACTCAGAGCTTTAAATCGCAAAGATCTGAGGTGCACTGCCTCAGTGCCAATCAACCTGAGACATAAGTTAAAAAGTCCCATGTGCCTGTAATTTCACTAGGACCCTTGCCCTTCAAAACCGGAACATAGTAATGCTCATGTTACTGCTTTGTGGCAGAAACACTTTCACAAGTAGCTGTACTGCTATTAAAAAAACTTTTTTATTTAATACCCAACCACATCATATACATTCAATGTGGAACTGAATAAACTATGCCATACATTGAGTTTCAGGAATACTACTTCAAAAACTCATATTACACTACCATATTTAATTTTTTCTTTGTAAGAAAATACCAAATTATACTACCGACGTCCTATAAATAACAACTTAAATCATTTTTAGATTAGTAACATGATGAGACAGAACCATGCTCTTGTTCGTTTAGTCTTTACGAAATTAGCCAATTTCTTGACCTCTTTATGGACCTGCTCACTTAGTACAGAATATATAAGTCAATATAAATATTAAACAACACCATATACGTTGCTCTGATCCCAAAGTAAGTAACTATAGCACTCGTGTTATGAAAATCGGAAATAATAAAGGTACCACAGACATCCAGACCAGCGACAGTATAGAAAAACTATTTTTTCTACACCGACCCGGCTGGGGATCGAACCCGAGACCTCGTAGATGGCGACACCATGAAATCCGGTGTGCAAGCCACTCGACCACGGAGGTCGTCGAAAATTGGTGACTCATACATAAATTTTAAAATTAATGAATAATTACAGAAGAATCCTTTTAATCAATCATTCATAATTTTCTTATGTCAGCAGTGACACAGAAATTCATGGTATATAAATAGTCATCAAGATCATCTTTTAACTGATTAGATAAATAGCAAATCCTATGTCTCACGTTCCAACATTACATTGAATACAAGTGACAGTTTCTTTATCAGAGTGGTGTAGTCAACATTTCTTCAGATAAATACTTTGTTTATATTATAAAGTTGATATATTTAATCTTATTTGCTGAGTAATATTGAAGCTAAAAACAGCACCTAATTTTTAAATTATACATTTGTGTAAGCTTAAAAAGTAATAAATCGTAAAAATAACATCTAATGTTATATTTAAAGCACACACTTAAATAAAAAGTTTATTATTTCTGATTATCTGAAATCTATGTGATCAATTCTAAATCAGTCATCACATGTGAATGATAGAATGTGAATAAAAATTATTTTAAGAAGAAATATGTCTCAAGTTGTGAAATTTAGTGAGAAAATTTTTAATTATACAATTAAAAATCAATGGTATAGATTAAAAGCATGTAAGTTTTATTTTAAATTTATTTAAAATTGTTTAAAAGTTAACAAATACAAGTACGACAGCATTCATATTTAAGTTTATTTATACATCTCTATAAAAATTTGAGGTTTCATTGTTTCTTATCAGGAGCAACGACACTGTCTATGGAGTATCAGAGTGAAATTGATCTTAATTTTACTTCCGTTTCTATGATAAAGAAACTGATGTGAGAAGTTTATGGTTAAATTTATAATGATTGTACTTTTGTATCATCATGCCTAACCAAATATTATTGTATTTCTTTTAGTGCATGTTGTGCCCTCCTTTAAGTAATACGACCTTAAGAGTAGAGTTCTGGAATTTGCATCTTAGGGTCTTATTCCAGAACTCTACTCAATACTCAAGTCCTTGCCATTAGGGTCGTATTTCCAGTGCTTGAAATCATACTCAAGTCCGTCATAGTCAAATCCTGACTTGAGCATTTAGTAGAGTTCTAGAATACGACCCTTAGTTTAAAACCATAGTCTCTACTCTATATACCTGCATGGTTATAGTGTTACTCATTGTTGTGAGAGCCCGATTAAATAAATAAATAAATAAAATGACTAGGTCTATGGTCACTTAATCTTATTCCACTTTGTGCCAAAAATAGGGACACAATATCGAATCAAAAGTATCGATACCTTGAGGTATCGATACTTTTGTCCTGCAAATTTTCCCTACTTAAAGGCAGAATAAAACACATGAATTTTTCTTTTTTTATTGATTTATGATTTTTAATTTAAACAAATAATAAAAGAATTTGATTAATTCAATCAATTGATCAATTCAATCAATCGTCATTTCACATAATTTGTGTTACTTAAATTTCCAATTTCCCACTCCTCTCTACAATCACTTAAAAATAAAAATCTATTTGGTCACGGTCTGTTTCCCGTTTTTGATACTGTATTGCCTGCTTTTGAGAATAAACATTCTAAACAAGGGACAAATTTCTTTTAAACAGGCAAGTGGTGGCATACAATTAATTTGTGATTAAGGTTGCCATTAAAAAAAATCGTTAGGTGGCTTGCGTTATGATATGAAGTGTCCGAAGTAGGAATTATTCGAAACCAAACTTGTCAAAAAGTATTAATAAAAAGTATCGGTATCGGATGGAAAAGTACTAAACTAATATCTAGTTGAAATGGTCGTTGAGTCTCAACTACAGACTATTAGATGCTAACGCATGTCTCAACAGAGTGTTGCCTTACTAATAACTACTATAGAAATTACTACACATACATATGTTAGTTTTTATTTCGTTTAATTACCAATTTAGTCTTCAAATTAAATATGCATAATATTAACAATCGACGCACCTTCGACTCCCCATTGAAGAGCACCAAAAGTTGAACAGTAGCTCGATGGCAAGCCACTATTAACTTATAGCAGAACACCAAACGTACAAAATTCTGCCTTAACACTCTATCCACGGAACTGAGAATGTTTAAGGTTAGCAGACTTGGTGCCGGGAATTCCATGTACAGCACATCATCAAATTACACATTGATAGATCTTGTTCCGTTGCACAGGAGGCGATATTCGAACGAAAGTGTGTATATAGCTTGATATGCTGTTGACTGTACTATAAGTACTAGAGTAGGTGACGGACTCCGTGGCCCAGAACACCAAGATTAGAATCAATTTAGAAAAGTTAATTTTCCAAATTCTACCTACCGAGAATCGAAACCTGGACCTTCTCATCCAGTGCCAGGTCATCAAATCTTTTTTTTATTATCTATATGAGTCTATACGTGTGTCGTGGCTGCTGTCATTGTTGATCAATAACATGTAGGTAGGTATGCATAATCAGCATTTGAATTATACATAGCCACCTGGATTTGAGAACAATTGTGTAATTCTTCATTGTAAATGCGTTGCAAATCGTGTTACAAAGAAAACCGTGCGCAAGCAAGGTAACTTGTTTACATAGTATGCGATTTTATCTCTACTGGCCGATTTATTCCACCGTTCCCAAAGAAATGGATTCTTAGACAGTAATATTTTCTTCCGTGTTTATTTCTAATTGTGGAAACTAGGTCTAAGATATATTGTTCACGGTAAGAATGTTACTAGCATGAATTATTATTGTCTATATACAACTGATAAATAACCACTATCAATTTTTATGAGAGCCAATGACGGTTTTTATTAGCAATCGTGACAACTAATTAATTTGCTATTGTGTTCAAATTAGGCGTTCATATTATGTTCATATTATTATTCACATGTTAAAGAAATGTTACATTTTCATTACTAAAATGGAATCCCGTCAGTTTAAATCGACGTTCGCCCCAAAATTGGCGATTGGTAAAATCGTCAAGTCACATAGGTGCGTTTCGGCGTAGTTAATAGCACAATAGATTTCCTATGACTTTCCATTTTTATTTAAAATGTGTGGGAAAACAAGTTCATGAATGAGTCCGATACAATACGTTCACGGCATCCTATCCATCACTCATTATGACGCAATGAAGCCGCAGGAACTACAACTAATTTCAGAGGTTATTCTAGGCAAAGTCATAAAGTATTAATGTCTTTTGTACCAACTAGGTTGGATTTGTACGACAGTTTTTTTTTTTTGCTTAATTGCGTGCTATAAACAGTTGTAATTTAATGTGGAAATCAAAGGACGTTCAGTATAAAAGTAAACGGAAACAATGTAAATGTTTACTAATTGATAATGATAATAGATTATGCGGTAAAGATAGCAAAATAAACCATTTCCGAGAGTAGTTAGTTATTGCACTGTGTTTTTATCGCTTCAGAATGTACGAGAAACTTACTCAGCAAGATTAAATTTAAATACACTGTGGTGTAAAACATACTTTGTACGTTACCGTGACAGAAACTGAAAAAATAATAGAAAAAAAGTTAAAACAAATACGCAAAAAAAGACCAAGCATTCGAGGACTATGCTATTAGATAGCCCACGCTAATATTCTGCCATGGCCTGTCATAAAAATATGACACCACAATTTAAAAACAAAATTAAATTCAAATACTGACGCAATCAGACATTAAAGATTGATTTTGTTCAACAATATGTTACTGAATTGTGTTGTTTTCAATTGTTATCATTATATTACGAAGTTATTTCAAGAGAACAAGTGCGAATGTAAGAGTACAAGTGCGAATTTTCTGCTGTATTTATTTTCTCCATTTTTAGTTTATCGTATCACAGCACATGCGATTCTATCTCGAACGTTGAATTAACGTTTATTTAGTTGAATAATTTCAACGAATTTTGCTGTCTCTACTAAATGTCTCACAGAGTTATCTTGTCCCATATTTTTTCATCTGAATTTCCCGGTGCTACATCGTTAACGGACTTATGTGCTTATGGACTCGCGTGCTAAGTTTCACTTCACACAATGAGTGGTAAATTCGATAAATTAGTGCGTCGAGTGATAAATGTTCGTCAGAGAGTGTATTCCACTTTTGTTGAATTTATCGGTGGGTATTAAACTACTGTACTTACATTTTTTTAGGTCATAATTAAATGGAAATTGACTACACTCTGTTGCACACAACAAATGGCGGTGTCAACGTATATAGGTGTTAGCATTAACGATTCTTGTCAGTGACAGATATATTAAATGCTTTTCCGAAGACACAATTTAAATGAACGCGTTAACATTCGAATAGGCGTCGATATTAAACATTTTATATTTTGTTTTTTTAATTCTGTAACGCGCGGAATTCTATCTTCATAAGCCAGTCTCTCTTTACTCCAACAATTTTGAGTTAATTACGCTTTCTAGGTCATCATTGCTGCTTTTTCTTTTTCTAACCAATCATTTAACATTTGAACTAAGAAAGAAATGTTATTAAACACGGTAATTGGTTATAAAACAGTACCTTTTAAATTAACAAGCTGATTCAATCAGTGTGTCCGTTTTCGCTACGCGTTATTTAATTTAAGGTCAGTTTGTATGTTCGTAGTGGAATTATTGAAGCGTAGTTTTCATGCAGGGCAGCTTTTTAGGTTTCTAAGGCGAAATTGTAGTTAAAATAATTAATGAGTATTATATATATTAACTACCACGATGTTTTACAACCGTGATATTCAATTATATTTTGTGAAGTTACTCCACTAGTTTGTTATAATTATTAATACAAAGATCGAATACTGTGAAAAAGTCATTCGATGCGGCTGAATTCAAATCAGCATGTTCAGCATACCAGCCTGATGCTGAAGACGCTGGTTCGAGCCGGATCGAATTAATTTTTCTCTGTGTTCGAGTTTTGTTTAAATAATTATAATAAAATAAATAAAACTTATAGAATGGTGATGGACGACTATGATGTCGTATATGTAATAATACTAAATCTTATCTGGAATAATTATTCGTTACAGCAAAAGAAGAGTTTACCTCAAAAATTTATTATTTATGAACAAATAATATATTTAGCGCGCTTTTTAAGAATACGCCCTTATCTGGTGAATCGTAGGTGTTGTATTTCATCAATGATAATACCACACCGCACACATTTACAAAGCCGTCAAAGACGATTGCAGTTAGGTTGTGACATATCATCTCAACCACCGTATTTGCCCGACATGGCCCTTTCAGATTTTCACTTGTTTCGGTCTTCACAAAATTCATTGAACGGACATGACTTTGTTATCGAAGAGTTCACCATACGACACTTATTAAAGCAGTAATTTATAAGTAAAGATTTTTATGGGGAGTTTTAAAATTAGGTAACATGGCCAAATTAGGTAGGTAGAACATTAAAGTTTGATATTAATTTTTTAATGTTTTTTTCATTTGCGTTATGACATGGGGTTCTTCAAAAAGCGTGTCAACAACGCTCGCAAAGACTGGCAACGCATAGGCAGCATCTCATGTAGCAGAGGTCCATTGGTGACGATGACCACTTCCCATCTAGTGACGCGCCTGCTCGTTTGCGTCGGACTTTACATTTAAAAAATGTACTTTGATAATACACGGACTTTTTGACCAACTCTATATTCACCATTAGATCTGTGACAGGGAAGCATCGTAGTTTCTGTAGGTGCATGCATGCATTTACTGGGGACTCTTCAGTATAATTCCCTTGAGGTGAGACGGAACAACAACCTGCTGGTATTTGTTTCTCAGGTATTACGCGGCGAGTCAGACTGTCCTGAGCTAGTGGGACAGCTTGTAAGGCTCTTTGTCCCAGACATTCCTAAAATAGTTTTAAGAGCGCGACGTCGTGAACTATTCACAGTCCCACCGGTGCGTACCGTATCGCGCAGGAACTCACCACTGCTCCGTGCCCTCGCAATGCTCAATCAACTCTTGGCATCAGCACCGGAGTGTGATCTGTTTGCATGGCGATGGGCGGCTGTGTGTTGTGAATGCCTGAGATTTTGTGAAGCGATGGATGATAGTGAGTCAAGTATAGCGCTATAGTTTAATTTATTATTTCAGTGTTTGGTTTATTTTTTTAAATTTTTTTATTGTTATTTTTTAATTAGTTTGGTTTCACGGCGCATTGGTTATGGAACTGTAATGCCGTGTAAACATGTTTACAATAAATAAATAAATAAATAAATGATACTGGTATCGAATCTGTGGTTCCCAATACTTAACCAAAACTATTGCGACAAATTTAGAAATATTGTTCTTCCTTTTATACTAACAGAGGGCCAAAGTGATAACAACTATGTTAAGTTTGCTAAATTAAGAATTTCAAGTTGTAGAAGTAACGTCAATATTGATTTGAATTTTTCTGTGTTCTATCTTCGTATTAATTTATGACATCAATATTATTTATTATGTCGCATTGTACAGGTATTGTGATGTAACGAAATGTACACTTATCACGCGTTTCAGATTCCCGCACGGATGGCGGCGGAGGCGACGCGATGGGCACCCTAGACCTCGGCAGCCGCTCCTCACTGCACACCGGCCTGCATATGTCGGAGGATGAACATTGGGAGATGAACTATCATGAAGCTGCTATTTATCTAGAGGTATGTGCACACGGTGAAAAACAAGTTAAGAAACCTCTACAATCTTAACTTTTTTTTTACACGTTTTTGGATTGGCAGTTTCAATGCTACTCAAAGTTTTAAATTGCAAAGATCTAAAGCGGAGTACATAACTATTTACATACATACAATAAATAACATTTTACATTGAACGTTTTCACCTGCCTCAGGATTTCCCAAATGTGCCGGTATGACTTATGATTACGACTGTACCACATAGACAGTTATGCAAAGATAATAATGCTGTCATACATGAAAACACGCCACGCAAAATCAGTTACAATTAGTTACGTACCTACCCGTATCAATAAAATAACACCCGACAGATAAATTTAATGACAGGAAACCCGTATGTTGTACGCTCAGAACGATAATGTGACTAACTGAATGTTATTTTCACACCAGAGCAGAAATATGTGTATCGAATTTTTATCATTGTATTGACTCCGACGCAACATCATTTTCAGGAAGGCCTAAACAATGAAAAATTCGACTCTCACCCATCAAGTCCCGAGGAACTACCGGCGTATCTTCGAGTACACAACCCTTGGTACCACGGACTGGATTTACTCGCCTCACTGGTCCTCATCTTGCTGGCTTTCACTGAAGATCCTGCTGTACCGGCTTTTGAAGTAATATTGGCACAACCATATAAATTATGTATATCAGTAATTGTTGACTAAATCGGGCCTGTTTAAGAGTAAAATAGCAAAGTTAAATAACTTAGGATCAAATTGTGTAAGATATTTTATACTCATCTTGTATTTACTATTCTCTTTTCATAGAAATATACTTAGAGCTAAGCTTAGAGCATATAACTAAGTGATATAATCTCTAAGGATTAAAAGTGCCTGATGAAAAGTTACAGGCAAATAATATTTTTTATGAATTTGCTACAATAAAAATATGTTGCGTTTAATTATCCTCCTTTTTATAAAGTTCTTGTCTTTTGTAGTTACCAGTATGGGCTCACGGCACTATTGAGCTAGCAGCTCTGGCGGTAATCGGTGTGGAACTGCACCTTAAGCTTAAATGGATCGGCGTGGGCACCATCCTTAAGCACAAACGGACCATGTTAAAGGTACCAACACCTACCATCACTGTGTGTCTTTAAACGCTAAAGGCTATGATATTAACATTTTTCTTCTGCATGGACACCTCATACAAACTTTTGCCATGCTTCTATATTTCTCATCTTGATGATCCAGAATATTTATATATCTTATCTGTGTAACATAGTCACTAATATCGATGTATATTGAAATCTTTACACTGACATAAAGAAAACTGTCTAGTGTCATATCTATACCATCTGGTTTGCAGGGAATAACTCTCTTAATAATGGTGCTGGAGGCAGTGGTAGTGCTGTGCCGGCAGTCATCCCATTTCCGCGTCACGCGAGCGTTGCGGCCTATCTTTCTCGTCGATACACGCCACTGTGGCGGCGTCAGACGGTTCATAAGACAAATTCTACAGTCCTTACCCCCTATTGTAGACATGTTAGGTAAGAACAGATTGTGTAAATAGAATTCTGACTAACAAAAATGTGTTTGTAAGACATTGTAAGAAATCTTCATAACTTGTTGTTATTTACGTGTTGTAAAGTAAGGTGAAGTTTTATTTATTAATTTGGTTTCAGGTCTCCTAATGTTCTTCGTAGTGACATATTCTCTACTTGGTTACTATCTTTTCTCGGAGCACATAGATAACGGCCACTTTAAGACTATTAGCGATTCGTTTGTTAGCATGTTCGTCTTACTCACCACTGCCAAGTAAGCAAAATTTTAATCAAATTTTATTTGTGTGCAATTTTAACGCCTGATACAAAATAAATTACTTGTTGTTGATAGTTTGCTATTTTTATATGCTAGGCGTTTTATAAAATTTACAATTACATTTAATTAAATTGAATGAGATATCTCTATGAGTTGTTTATTTTTTGCTATTGGTTCTGTGAAAAGCAAACAGTATAAGTGGTTTTTTTTTTTATTTCAGTTTCCCAGACGTAATGATGCCGTCATATGCTAAGTCGAAATGGTACGCGTTGTTCTTCATTCTATACATCATCACTGTTCTTTACGTTCTTATGAATTTGGTAAGAATCTTTCCTTTCTATTAACTCTGCCTTTAATTTTTTTTATTTATAGGCACACATTTATTCAGAAAAAGGTGTTGGGAAGAAAAAGGTATCGCACATGACAATTAACATTGTATTCTCTCAAAATTGCTTTAGGTTATTTGAATATCACCTATTTAATTTCAAAGCGATAGTGTTGTCACTTTGAAATCGTATAATATGTCTATAGCGAAATTTCGGAGAGAAATTATTAATATAATGCAATTTGTAGATACAATATAAATTTACGGAATTTTTGGGTTAATACTATGGACTATGGTAGTTGTCAAGTGCGACGTATAGATACATTTATAGATATTGCTACAAAGAGCGACATAGAGTTGTTAAAACCGCCAAATATTAATTAATAACTGTTTCGAAATCCGGAATACAGGAACCTCTTTCTTTATTCTATTTATAAAGAGAAATGGCCGTACAAGGATAAGGCCATCAAAAATGGCATCTAGTGTGAATATTATACGACCATGGATGTAATGAGAATAAAAAAGACCGCGGGCTTTTATTTGGGGCATTATAGTCGCGTTAGCCTGCACGCAACCATGCTTCTGGCGTGCAAGTGTGACGACATAACGATTGTGACTTGGCAGATGCTGGCCGTGGTGTACGAGGCGTTCACGCGCATCGAGCGCGAGAAGTGCCGCGCGCTGCTGCGGCACCGGCGCGCGGCGGCGCGACACGCCTTCCGCCTGCTGGTGTCGCGCCGCGCGCCGCACCACGTGCGCCTGCGCCACTTCCTCGGCCTCATGCGCCACTACGCGCCGCACTACAGTGCGTACCGCCGTCCGCCGCCCGAGCCACTCGCAACAGGTAACGATGACGTACATACGTGCTTTAATTCTTTATTTGTTTCGCAGGCGGATTGGATGTGTACCTCATGTTCAAGCAGCTGAACCAATCGGGCACGGGCGGCCTTTCCCGCCAGGAGTTCGCGAACCTGTACGAGGTGTTCGCGCTGCGCTGGGCGCCGCAGCAGGCGCGGGCGCCGTGGTACGCCGACTCCTTCTTGGAGCCGCTGGGTCGGGCGGCCTCTGTCGCCGTGCGGTGGCCGTACTTCGAGTACTTGATTTGTAAGCACGAGGACGTATTGCGGCTTCGGAAGAACTCA